TTCGAGGATAAATTAGTCCTAAGGTTAAGACAATAATCTAGACATCTGGGTATGACCCAATAAGTTAACACAGGTTACGGATTCAGAAGATTTAAAGTAGAACACCCAAGCAGAGGTGTTAGGTATGGCAATTGGTGGGGAACCTTCAGGCAGACTCCTTAAATAGGTAATATAGAAAATTTACACATGTAGCCAATTGTACTTTCTTCTGTAATGGTTCATTGAACCACAATACCAATAAGTGATTAATAAAAGTTATTAGACCAAAGAGGTCATCTTAATACCAAAAAAAAATAAATAAAATTTATAGGCTTTAATTTTGAACCTGAAAGTTAATTTCTAGATTTCTTTTTCTTTTTAATTAAATTTCTTAACATTAAAATAAATTGAACTTCTATGGCCATGGGGGCTGTAGGAGTTCAAAAATCAAGTAAAAAAATTAAGGTTAGGTCTAAAGGAGGTATAGTTTGATATTAATAATATTTGGATTCTTAAAAAGAGTAACAAAATAGTTGTATCATCAAGATAAAAAATAAACCTTTAAACATTACCCTCATATAAAATTGCAAAAAAATTTCTTTACATTTGCATATCCATTATTTATTTATTAGCACTTTGAATACTTAATAATTTATTTCTTTTATTTAATTAAATTTTAATGAAATAAAACAAAGTTATATCCAAATAAATTAAGCCTTATGCAAAGTATTTAATCTGAGATTTAATCTGAAAAAAAATATTTATCCTTTGCGTAAAGGTGTGGCCAGAGTAGTAAGAATATTTTACAATAAAAATTCACTTTTGCTATAAAATCCTTCATTTTGGCACTCATTTATCCTTTGTATTTCTTTTTTAATTTTTCAAATTTTTTTAATAAAATCTCACACTATAATCTAAGAAAATTTTAATTTGTTTTAAACAATTTTATACAGTATTATAAGATTTGATAACACTACTAACCTTTACATAATACCAAAAATCTATCATATATCTAGCTTGTTGATCTTCAAACTTTGAAGGAATCTTGGAAGAACTAATATTAGCCAAAACACCAAATTTTTGATTTGGATACCTTGTATATTGTAAGAGATAGATCTCCCCATCTAAAACAAAAAGTTTTTTAGTTTTAAGTAAATATTAGAGAAAAATGTATTAAAAATCATCTGTTATATGAATTCTGCCAAGTTTGATATCACTAAATAAATCTAATAAATTATCCAAAATTCCTTTTATTTTCTTAGAATAATAATTGATCATTGTAATATTATCAGTAATATTAAATTAAGTTAGAATAAATAATTATATAATATATACTTGTAATTACATTTTTGAATATAAACTTATCATTTTTGTTACTTTTGTCATCTTCTTCATAATGGGTTACATCTGCCCAAAACTGTTAGACATAACTATTTTGGGTCTCAAATTCAAATAAGTAAATATAATAGTTAGTCAAACAAATTTATATAAAACTTATTTAAATAGTGCTTTTTATTCATAATTAGCTAGACAATTATCTAACAAATAACACACAACTAAATAGTATATAAAATTCAGGGCAAATTAATGACCTGAGCTTGTCAATATACAGCAGAAAAAAAATCCAAAGCAAATTATTGGCCTAATTAAAGTATAACCTGTTGAAAGCAATCAATATATAAAAAAATTTTAAAGCAAATTAATGGTCTGATTCAAATATCACTGCAGTGAACAAGTTATAAATCAAATATAAAATTCAGAAAACTTATTGTGATACACATGAATTTAATCATTATAAACTTAATTTTACAAGAATTATATCTTTTCTTATATTTTCTTTAATCTTTTTTAATTGCTTTTTATTAAGAGAGCCTGTGTATTTTTTATATTGACATTTTATATCAAATGAGTATTGTTAACCTGTAGTTTTTTCTTTAACTATAGTGATAACAGAAGCTGCTCAACTATAGTATGACAACTACAATTTGACAGATTCTATACAAAAATCTACACAAGACTTTAACAAAATACAGAATAATTTGGGATTTTAAGACAGAGGCAACAATAAATAGTATATAAAGATACTAAATATTGCATTCAGTTTATTCACTATTTGAAATATATAAAGACACTTAACTTTCTTAAAGAGTTAGAAAGTAGTGCTTTTATAGATATTTTACATGTATAAATAATTACAATAAAGAT